GAAAGTTCACTGTTTGTCTGCTGTAGGTAGGGTGGTCGTCGGGTTTTGAACCGTAGGTCTGTAGGTTAGAGGTCTTAGCAGTGGTAGGAGTCGTAACTGCCAGTGTTAAAAGGTCAAGTTGTAGCTGCTACAGTACCGAAGGGTCATGTCCACAGTCTTCCGGAAGGTCCGGAAGTGGCCCTTCGTGCAGTCCTAGGCTACAGTCCGTAGGCAAGTGGGCAAGCGGGCAGTCTAGCCTAGCCCAGTCAGCGGTGCCCAGTCCCGGGTGCACTTCGTCAAGTCAGCAAGTACCATGTGGGACTGTGTGCACCCCCGGGCCCAGGGTCCAAGGGCAGACCTTTGACAATCCAAAGTATAAATAAAGATGCAGCGTCAAGCCATTCATTTATTCTGCCTGTGAGCCATACGGAAGCGCTGCCTGACCGTCTTGTGCAAGGAGGTCTGCAGGTGCGCGTAGGAGAAGTGGGCTGAGAGGAAGAAGACGCGGCCATAGCCGCTGGTGGTGTTAGTATAGGAGGAGGCAGCCATAGCTGCCATAGCTTAGTGATAGGGTGTGTGTATGTGTGTGTGTGTGTGTGTGTACGTGTGGAGAGTGTGTGTATGCGGGACATCCAGGGAGATCCCGGGCGTGTGTACGAACAAGTTGTTGAGAGTGCAATGTTCGGCCATAGCTGAATGAGACAAGTTCGAATCTGAGCTGCATTCGTGACTTCGTTATCTCTGAGCTTTGGAGTGGGCGCTAGTCGCCAGCTTGTTGTTCTTCTTCTTGTACGCATGCTGAATGTCGAAGTCGAGAAGTCTGATTGCACATCATTGCAGTTAGTTCTTCTTCTTCTTCTTTTCTTTCTTTCTTTCTTTCTTTCTTTCTTTCTTTTCCTTTTTTTTTTTTTTTTTTTTTTCAAGGCCCATTCAAATACCTGCGTAGTTCTTTTTTCCCAACTGTATTTCGTTTTTTTTTTAAATTTATTTTTTGAATGCAACATCCTGTGAAGACCTGCGGCCTGGTGGTGGTAACAGAACCAGCCAGGTGAAAGGCACATCCTGTGAAGACCTGCAGCCCCAGGCCTTATCAGTGGTGATAGGCACGGGTGTGTGTAGCAGTACTCTCTACCTCTTGGGCGAATAGCAAGGTGTTTGTTGCCACCATGTATTCCTTTATTTTATTTTATTTATTTATTTATTTATTTTTGTGCAAGGAAAATGAGTGATAGCGAACTTCGGAAACCAAGCAGCATCATGCACATGAGACCCGATAGTTGTGACCTCGAACCAAAAGCAGAATTGCATCACGAGTCCCACCAAATAATAGCACAGCAAAACCTCGTAAATGACAATGTTCGAGTAGTCTCATCATCATCAACAAAGAACCAATGTCGACATCCTATCTGGCGCTCGGCGCCCAGACTACAAATGGCAGATCCTATCTAGCCTATCTACAATGCCGCTGGTGACGTCAACAACTCCCCGAAGTACGAGCAGATCTTGGCCAATGCCGTTCGCTTCAAGCACCAGGTATGTCACTCGTATCACTCACAACCTCGTTCCCCAACTCACAGATGCCACATGCACCCAAAGACCTCCATGCGCCCCATCCAGCATACAGCAGTGCAGCTCGTCTATGGCTGCCTGCTCCTTCCAGCTTGCTTGTGAGCGCGTGAGCGCTGGCCAGTGTTAGTGCAGCAGCGCTTGCGCAACATGCAGCCAGTGCCCGAATGTCCAATGTGCGGGCAGGCCCTTCCCTATATCGAAGTGGCCTACTGCTGCGTGCGGTAATGCGGTACCGGGCCCCGGCCCAGAAGCTTCCGGTAGGCTCCACGAGGCTGAGCCTCAGTCCATACGGAACAGGCCCGGGGCCTGAGTTAGTTGCCCGTACCCAACTGCCCTCAGCCTGTGTTCGGTCCGTATGCGCGTTTGGCTCAGGGCATACTTCAGATACATTTGCAAAAATGGCTGCCTGGGCTTGGGCGTTTGTAACCAACTGATGCCGCGCAACTGTCTGAATTTCCCCAGTTACGTGGTGGCCTGACAAAGGGGTCCCCTCGGCCTGAGTCGAGCCTGCCTTCACTTAGGGCGGCCGACAACAATGCAAACAGGGCCAAAGGGGCTCATCGGGGCCTTAGGCCTCGCATTCCCTCCATACTTCGATAGTCCTATGAGAAGTTCAGTCTTCAATAATCTGGCGCTTTCCCTTCTGCAGAGACTTTTCATATTGGGCAACAGCCTGAGGAGCGGTCTGCATCAGTTCCTCCCTGGTAAACCATCGATCCTCCTTTGGATCAGTGTGATGTCTGAACCGAACTCGGTACTGCAGCTTCGGTTTCGGAGGACATCCCTTGCATATTGGTCTTGGAACCGGCATTTCGTTGTGGTCAACGATGTCGTCGATGTCGACCTCTCCATCCATGGTTGGGGGCAGCATTGAGCGACGAGAGGGAAACTGATCTGTTTCCATGGAAGGTGCGGGTTTGGAAGCGTGAAACACAGGGTAAGTACGTAAGTGACCAGGGATGCGAATAACATATGACGGCCCATCCGGTTCATCCCCAACAACATCTAGGACCTCCCAGGGTCCGAAGTACTGCGGCATGAGCTTGCAGGAGATCCCGTGCTCCTGTCCCAGTTTAGATGACTTAACCCAGACTCTCTCCCCTACCTGAAATGTAGATGGGTGGTGGTGCTTGTTCTCAGACTCTATCATCGCGGCCTGCTGCATCAGACGCTCATATCGATAAGCGAACTCTAAGGTTCCTGGTGCAGCAGAAGGTTGGTTCTCAGGTAGTAGGAAATCCAAGGGCAGTCTAGGCTTGAATGTCAGTAGCAGGCTGTTCGGGCTCACTCCCGTTGCGCTGTGGACAGCGTTATTGTACAGGCTAGCGATGAGAGCAAGTTTCTCATCCCACTCCACCTGATTTGGCTTGATGTAGTGCCTCAGCAGGTGTTGTACAACGCGGTTTCAACTGCTCTGCTTGTCCATTTGCCTCTGGATGGTTCCCCGATGTCATTTGTAGCTGCGTTCCCTGTTCTGCAGCTGCGGCCTTTCCACAATTCACTAGTAAATCGCACATCACAGTCACTCACTATAGATTTCGGCAGCCCAAAATCTTTGACCCAGTTCTCTTTGAACAGCTTAAGCACATACTTGGTCTTAGCTGTTGCAGGCATTGCGACTAATCTAGTGTATGTACTAAACCTATCCACAATGACATAGACATAACGCATTCCACTCTTGCTGGTGACCAGCGTATCCATGAAATCCATGGACAGGCTTTCACCAGGCCTTTCCGGAATCGGAAGGGGCTTCAGGAGCCCAAGGGGAGCCTGCGTGCGTGGCTTGTCCCTCTGACAGACCTGACAAGTCTCCACGTACAGCTGGGAGTCTTTCATCATCGTGGGCCACCAGAACCTCTGCATCAGATTGGCTACAGTCTTTTTATAGCCAAAATGTTTGGTGGCATCATGACACTCGCCTAAAAATAAACTACGCAAAGACTCTCTATTAGGCACACAAAGACGTTTATTCCCGACCTTCTCAAGGAACAGAAGGCCATTGATCAACTCAAACTCTTCAGACGTAGATTTATCCTTCGTCTCGAGTTTGCGTATGATCTCTGACATGAATGGGTCCTCGCGATAGGCTTCCACCAAAGACTGAGTAACATTGTCCGCAAGCCCAAATTCAGTGACCAGCGCGCGAAGAAAATCTGGCCTACGCGACAGCATATCAACAAACCTTGTTGTACCTCCCCTTAATGTACTGGGGTTCAAAGTCATACTGCTCAATGACTTCGATCCAATGCTTCAGAGCGTCGGAGAGTACCGGTTGAGTCTTCATCCATCTCAGGGTCTGATGATCAGTCCTGACATAGAAGAAGCGACCTAGGAGGTAGTGCCTCCAATGGGTCAGCGCTTTGTAGATCGCATAGAGCTCCTTCTAATAGGTGGACTTGACCAACTTTTGAGAGGGCATCTTTTTGGACATGTACTCTACTAGTTTTAACGTTTTTCCCTCCTGCACCAATGCCATATTGGGTGGCATCCGTAGTCACAACGAAAAGTTTGTTAGGATCAGGAAGTTTCAAGACCTCATGGCGTGTCAACGCATGCTTCAGATGTATGAAAGCAGCCTCACACCTGTCTGTCCACTCCCATGGGGTGCCAAGGCGTGTCAGGTCCGTCAAAGGGGCGGCCACTATACTATAATTTTGAACAAAATTGTGGTAGTAGCCTGTCATCCCTAAGAAGGACCTCATCTCAGTTACAGACTGAGGACGCAGCCAGTCACGAATGCTGGCCACCTTTGCGTCATCGGGCTTCAAACCCTCTGCGGAAATCTCATAACCCAGGTACAAGATCCGGGTGTGGCAAAACTCACACTTCTCCCGGTTGATCTTGAACTGGTGCTGTCTGAGGAGGCTAAGGACTTTATCTACGTGCGCTACATGTTCCTCGACAGTCCTACTAAAGATAAGTATGTCATCGAGGTACACGATGACAAACTTGTCCAAGTAATCATGAAATATCCGGTTCATCGCGTGCTGAAAGGTGCCAGGAGCATTGCAAAGGCCGAAAGGCATCACCACAAACTCATACAGACCGTACCTGGTCTGAAATGCGGTTTTGTGTCGATCCTCGGGCCGTACTGCAATCTGATGGTACGCGGACTTCAGATCTATCTTACTGAAGTATCGACACCCTTGCACTTGATCCAACAAGTCGTTGATGTGCGGTAGGGGCTCGACGTTCTTCACCGTGATGGCATTGAGGCCCCTATAATCAACGCACATCCTTAGAGTCCCTCCCTACTTTGGTACGAATAGGACTGGAGATCCATAAGGGGAGACACTCGACCGGATCCAACCCTTCTCTACAAGTTCCTTGAGTTGTCGGCAAAGCTCATCAAACTCGCCTGGAGACATCCGATAGATCCTACCCTTCGGGATGCTAGACCCTGGGATAATCCCTATTGCGTGGACGACCTTCCTCTCAACAACCCCTTTCGACTCTTTAAATAGACCAGGGTATTTAGCGACCACTCCCTCTATCTCTGGAGGCGTTTTCACGGGCTCACCCTTTGCAGAGACGTAAACTAAGTACATACCCTCCTCCAGATTTTGCTTATAATAATTATAGAACGCGGCCGCACACATGCATCCGTAGGACTCGATCAGACTACTAGCCTTAAACTTACGTAATATGGCGGTCCCTCCACTTGGCAAAGTGTGCTTGACCACTTTTCGGTCCCAATCAAACTGGGGCTGTGCAACCGAGAGGTACTACATACCTAACAAGATGTCCATTGGGAGATCATCGCTGACTAGGAACAAGACGCGATGTCTCAGTTCCCCTCCCGCGTACGGGAAAAGACACTCAATGTCTTTGAGGTAGTCATTGACTACCTTGCGTTGTTTGTTGGCACAGGTCAACTCCACAGGTCGACTCAGGCGCTGCACTTGCCCCTGTAAGCGCAGCCTCTCAACGCACGTGCGACTAATGAAGTTCTGTGTCGAGCAAGTATCATAATCAGCCCCGGCCTTGCGACCGCCGATGATTACCTCGCTGACGAACATCTCACTCCCAGGGGCTTTGGCCAATGCCGCCCAAGAAGCTAGCGGGTCTGATTTGGACCACTCCTCCTCCAACTCCTCTAAGGACTTAAACACATTCATCGAACAGAGGCTCGATGGGTCTGAATGTGTTTGCGGGACGACAACAGAATCAGTAGCTTGGGCCATCTTTCGAGATGGTGAGGGTGTGTCCACCACCTCGACCATACCAGGAACAACTACTATTCCTACTGGCCCGGGGTGTTTCCTGGAGCAGTGCCAGAACTACTGGCCACATTGCTACCAACGGGAGCGGAGGATCCCAACGCCTGCCCCATCATAGGCGGGATCTTCTCAGTCACCTTTTTATTACGACACTTGAGCTGGTTATGGCCATATTGGCCACAACGGATACAAGCCTGCCGGGTGTACCTGTCTCTCCACACGTCCTCTGTTGAACCCGCTTTCTCCCATGGAGGAGCGTTGGGGTCAACTTGACTCCTAGACCGAGAACCTCCACCGCGTCTACCGGTCACCTTACCTTTCTTTACTGAGGCAGCGACGACTCCACCCCCTGAAGCCTCTACGCTGCCTGCCTCTGAACCTACTCCCGCCTGGAAGTCGTCTTCCAACTCGATGGTAGAACCATCGTTGTCAACGAACATAATGCGACCCTTCGCCTTCCAGTTGGGAGGCAGTGACTTCTTCCTTCCATCAGTTGTGGGTGTTTGACCATGCCCTATCTTTGCTTCTAGGTCTAGGGCCTTCTTGCTGAACGAGGGGAAGTTGTGCATGTTGATGTTGGCCTTTCCTGCCAATTGATTCCTGAGAGGCATAGGAAAACATCTCAGGTAGGAGGTGAGTAAAACCTGGGGGTCATAGCGCACTTCATGGACACAGATCAGACGCTCTTCTGCGTATGTGGCCTCTCTTACTGACTTGAACTGTCTATGGTTCAGAGTCAGGATCGCGTCAGTGGCTTTTTGAGCCTCCTGAGGATCATGCCACCTATCTTCCACCAGCTTGAGGAAGTCATACAGTTTTTGGTTGACTGCCCAAGCGAGGAAGTCATGACCGTATCCCTGTAACTGCACTAAACCACTCAACCATCTTGCTGCACTCCCCTCTAAATAGGAGGCAACCACAAACACTTCCTCTTGGGGCAAGGTAAGTTTGCACTTGACATAGATTGGCATTGACCTCAACCATGTGTTGAGGTCTTCACCGCTCTTATCCCCTGAAAAAGGTTTGGGAGAGGCGATGGCCGTATTTGGAACCCACTGAGTTTGTCCCGGCACCTGTCCCACTCCAGGCTGTGGACCTTGGGGACTAGGCTGCTGCACTATTGGCTGCTGGGGCTATGTACCCTGCGGCTGTGCAGGCTGCGAGACAGCAGGCTGCCGTGTTACGACAACCTGCGACGGAGTTTGGGAGTACACTGTCTGTACAGGAACCGGTACACTAGGACCTTCTGAGAACCCTTCTGTCAACGGCATGCCTAGGGAAGCGGCTTGGACCGATGCTGGAGTGACATATGGGGATACCCCAGTCACCGGTCGGACAAAAGGAGGAGGCTGTACAACGGGCCAGGCACCAGGCCTAAACGGCGATGGAGCTGCCTGCGCTCGTCCGACCAACACGGCCAGACTCTGCTGAATGTCCTGAAGGAGAGTTGTCAAGTGGTCCTGCATTTCTACTACATCTAGCAGGACGGACTGTAGGGTCCTCACATCGTCATCCATGTTTGTCAGGTCCATCTCCTCTAACTCACTAACGTCCGCCTGTCTCCGCTGCATCCTGACTCTTCTTCTAATCATATTCTCTTTCTCTGCCTTAATCTCTCCTAACGTCTGCTGTAGCTGTGCCTCGCGAATAGCTGCTCGCTGTATGGCGACCTCCTCGGGAGTCAACACTTTTGGCTGGCTTGCCATGACGCCAGTGGACTGACTCAGGGTCTGTGCGACCGTTGACCCTACAAAACTTGACCCACTAGCCTGAGAGCTCTGCTGCGCAGCAGATGCCATGGCTGCTGAAGTAGCGGCCTCGCTTACGAATGCCCTGCTTGCCTCTGCAGCCCTAGCCCTCCGCTGCTGCTGCTGTCTCTCCCTCTGCTGGCGGAACAGGTATCTGTCGCCCTCTGGTCCTAATGCCAAGTGGGTTATCGAGCATCTTGCTGATCGCAGGATCCGGTCGTCCTCTGTAGTTTCCTCCCTGTCGCTCATAGGCCACAACACTGAACACTGTCTGAACTAGGACACTCGCCATGCCTACCGCAGCATGTTGTACATACCGATTTGAAAAAAAAAGGGCCTTTACCCGATGCAGGCCTCAGGCCTTGTAAAAGTAAAGCAGCGTGAAAGGGTATCTCGCCAGGGCTCAGAAACGTGAAAGCAGGTCAAAGGTCAAGTTCTCTATCAACGGGCACATCCAAATCTAAAGCAAAGGACATTGCCAAAAGACTTACCTATTCACCAGGAGATGTGCATGTCATGTCTGTTCGGAATGGGGTGTGTCTGTACGTGCAGTCAGTGCACCTGTTCGTGCAAAGAAGAGTGTCTATTCACACCTGTTCAGGCAGTGAGTGTGTCTGTTCGCCTAAAGATGTGCCTGCCCGAAAGTAAGTCAATAGGTAAGGTCCCAGTTCTGGTCTAAGTCAAGGGGGCAGTCCAGATCCAGACTTTCAAGTCCAAATCTAGGCCGAAAGGTCTCAACAGCAGTTGAACTTCATTGGGACTGTACTGGGACACATGCAATGCAGGGTCTGGGACAAAAGAAGGCCTGAAGCAGCCAATGCAGACCCAGCGAGGAGAGGCCAACGCTATAAAGAAAGCAGCCAGCCTCATTCCTCGCCAGATCTCCACTGGCCATTTCTGCATGGAAGTGCTGGTGCACTTGTGCGCTAAGTCAGGAGGAGCAGCGCTGGAGGATGAAGATGCGCTGAGCGAGGGAAGAAGCCTGTACGCTGGAAGTGATGCAGCCATAGCTGCCCAGCGAGTTAGTATTAGTAGTAGAGGGTTAGTGGTAGACAACTATGAGTAGTATTCAAAGTAGATCCTCACGAGTAAAGAGTGTGTATGCATCGTAGGAGGAAGGGACCGAGGCAGAGAGTGTTCATTCAAGGCTTGGCTATGGAAGATACTTACCTGAGTTGGCTGTGAACTGCAGAGGTGGCGCTGATGAGTAGTGACCACATTGATGACTTGGAGACAATCTGCAGAAGTAGCACTGATGTATTGGGAGTCGTGTTGATGAGTTGATGCTGGTTTGGCATTGCGTTGTTGAGCGCTGGACTCAGGGAACTATGGAACTCTTTGTAATCATATTTTTGATAATATAAGCTGTGAAACTCGGTTTTCTTCTCATCTACCTTTGTCTATCGTGTGAGACTACTGATCATTGTGTGCGAGTATGATGCATGACATATACACACTTGCGTGAGATGGTCCCCAGGACCCATGCAGTTGACCCTACAGAACTTGACCCAGTAGCCTGAGAGCTCTGCTGTGACGCAGATGCCATGGCTGCTGAAGTAGCGGCCTCGCTTACGAATGCCCTGCTTGCCTCTGCAGCCCTAGCCCTCCGCTGCTGCTGCTGTCTCTCCCTCTGCTGGCGGAACAGGTATCTGTCGCCCTCTGGTCCTAATGCCAAGTGGGTTATCGAGCGTCTTGCTGATCGCAGGATCCGGTCGTCCTCTGTAGTTTCCTCCCTGTCGCTCATAGGCCACAACACTGTACACTGTCTGAACTAGGACACTCGCCATGCCTACCGCAGCATGGTGTACAAACCGATTTGAAAAAAAAATAAAAAATAAAAATCTGTGGCTCTGTCAGAGATTACACATTTGGGTCCAACAGGTAAGTTCAGATTCCTACAAACGAAACTACTTTGACTTTGACTAGTTCGCAAACAGAAAGCACAATGAATAGAGAACAGTTCTAACTATGTTGTCTGTCAGATGTTAATGGCTGGACATCTAACTAATCAAAATAAAAATAGAATCATTTGTTGGGTCTGTTTACAGAATGGAATCTTATCCAAACTTATCACCTGGAATCTACCCCTCCCTCAGTTCTTCATGAATGTCTCTTGTCGGCAGTGTCCCTGAGCAATCTGGAACAGCGTGCGTGTCTAAAGGTGTGCACACGGCCCACCCCTGTGCCCCGAGTCCTGCTGAGCTGGCCAGCCCTGCACAATTTGTAGCGAGCCTTACACCGACCAATTGGCTGATCAGGAGGCGTTTTTATGGACGGCCCTCAGGAATTATTTAACGTCGCAAACAGGACGACGATCACAGCCAATGGAAGGTCCCCGCCGGTACTTATTTATAGACATCCGGTACTCGTCTTTCCTGTAGGGCTGGCCTGCCCCTCAGAACTCCTCTATAGCGCAGCGAGCAGACAAAGGACAAAGCAGCAAAGCATGCGTGCTCTACTCCCGGTGGGTTGGCATGGTGACCGTGATTCAGTGCTTCGTCCAGGGCCCTTCAGATAGCACCGCCCTCTCCTTCCAGATGCTCCACGTGAACACTGACGACTCTCAAGGTTGAGCGCACTCGACTCCTCACATGAGAGGACTCTCAAGACGGAACACATCCTCACGGTAAGAAGTGTCGAAGAGGGTAGATAAGGTTAGGTCCAACGTACCTCGAAATAGCTGCCCCCAACCACAGATATTCTCACCAGATGACCCGATGTTGATTGTGATGACCAATCGCTGCTTCCGGACAACCAGCATTGCAGCGCTGTTCCACCTCAGCATCAATCACACATCGTATAGTTCTCATCACACTGCGAACACCCAATATTCACCACGTAGCCTTCCTAGCGATCCCCTCTCCACCTGGGTTGCCTTCGCCCTCCTCACTACACACTGCCTACGGCCGCTCGCTTAGCAGACCGCATGCATGTACCTCATAGGCAGAAGACAAGCGCCAGATGAGCGCACTGTACCACAGCTCTGATACCAAATTGCAAGGAAAATGAGCAATAGCGAACTTCAGAAACCAAGCAGCATCATACACATGAGACCAGATAGTTGTGACCTCGAACCAAAAGCAGAATTGCATCACGAGTCCCACCAAATAATAGCACAGCAAAAGCTCATAAGTGACAATGTTTGAGTAGTCTCATCATCATCAACAAAGAACCAATGTTGACATCCTATCTGGCGCTCGGTGCCCAGACTACAAATGGCAGATCCTATCTAGCCTATCTACAATGCCGCTGGTGACGTCAACAACTCCCTGAAGTACGAGCAGAGCTCGGCCAATGCCGTTCGCTTCAAGCACCAGCTATGTCACTCATATCACTCACAACCTCGTTCCCCAACTCACAGATGCCACATGCACCCAAAGACCACCATGTGGCCCATCCAGCATACAGCAGCGCAGGTCGGCTATGGCTGCCTTCTCCTTCCAGCTCCCCCGTGAGCGCGTGAGCACTGGCCAGCGTTAGCGCAGCAGCGCTTGCGCAGCATGCAGCCAGTGCCCGAATGTCCAATGCGTGGGCAGGCCCTTCCCTATATCAAAGTGGCCTGCTGCTGCGTGCAGTAATGCGGTACTGGGGCCCGACCCAGAAGCTTCCGGTAGGCTCCACGAGGCTGAGACTCAGTCCATATAGAACAGGCCCAGGTCCTGAGTTAGTTGCCCGTACCGAACTGCCCTCAGCCTGTGTTCGGTCTGTATGCACGTCTGGCCCAGGGCATACTTCAGATACATTTGCAAAAATGGCTGCCTGGGCCTGGGCGCTTGTGACCAACTGACGCCGCGCAACTGTCTGAATTTCACCAGTTGCGTGGTGGCCTGACAAAGGGGTCCCCTCGGCCTGAGTCGAGCCTGCCTTCACTTAGGGCGGCCGACAACAATGCAAACAGGGCCAAAGGGGCGCTCATCGGGGCCTTAGGCCTCACATTTGTTTCTAAGGGGCGATGGCCTTGAGATATCAATTTCAAACTGACCAGCCCCAGGTAAATTCAGAGTTACTTTCACTAATGTGAGTTTATCGGGATTCGAACTGAGGTCTGTATTTCAGCAGTTCATGGGTGTATCAACTGAAACTAGGTCCGTCGTTGGTGACTTATGTTATTTTCCTTTTCGGTTCCATTAAGACTTCTTTTTTCCGGGGGATTTTTCTCTGTTATGAAATAAAACCATCTATCTTATGCTTGTTCTGCTGCTGCAGCTGATGAACACACTAACTGAAAGCTGAGAAAGGTAAGAAGACGAAGAAGAAAGAGGGGAAGAGTAGTAGGAGGAGGGGGAGGAGGATGAAACAAGGAGCAGAAGAAGAAGAAGAAGAAGAAGAAGAAGAAGAAGAAGAAGAAGAAGAAGAAGAAGAAGTAGAAGAAGAAACAATGAAAATAATAAAAGTGCGGAAGGAGGAGGAGGAGGAGGAAGAAGAATCCTCTTTCGCTTGTGGTTGAGCGACACGACTGTGGTTGAGGTCGAGTTGAAGTGTTGATTAGCTGCTGAGTCATCATTTACTTTGATTGGATTGGTCAATCTGCAGGTCAGCGCATGGCGAGAGGAGCTTGACTTTGTGAATTGATCGAAGTGCATATTTATAGTCTACTAGGTGGAGAGGGAGGGAGGGGCATTTTATCCCGAAATAAGTGAGCAAGCAGAGCACTGCAGAGAGGGAAAAGAACAAGATGGCAAACAGGGAGGAAATCCAGCCTCGCGATGTTTGTATCGTTGGAATGGCGAGAACTCCTATCGGTTCCTTGAATGGATCTCTGTCATCGCTTTCAGCCTGTGCTCTTGGCTCACTGGCAATCAAAGCTGCACTGAAGCGCAGCGGTGTGCAGCCATCGCAAGTGGAGGAGGTCTACATGGGGAATGTCTTGAGTGCCAACCTTGGTCAAGCGCCCGCGCGGCAGGCGGCACTGGGCGCAGGTTTGCCGCCGAGCGTCGTGTGCACGGGGGTGAACAAGGTCTGCGCTTCAGGGATGAAAGCCATCATCCTGGCAGCTCAGAGCATCATGCTAGGACTGAACGATGTCATTGTCGCGGGCGGGATGGAGAGCATGTCGAATGCGCCGTACTATCTCAGTAAAGCACGACAAGGATACAGGATGGGCCACGGAGAGCTGATCGATGGCATGCTGAAAGATGGGTTGTGGGATGTGTATAACGATCAGGCGATGGGGATCTGTGCAGAGCTCTGTGCGGAGACACACCAAATCTCCAGAGAGGAGCAGGACAACCACGCCATCTCCAGCTACGAGAGGGCGGCAGCAGCACATTCCACAGGTGCGTTTGCTGCTGAAATCGTCCCCGTCGAGGTGAAGGGCAGCAAGGGGAAGCCATCGACAGTCGTGGAGAAGGACGATGCCTACCAGAAAGGCGATCCGGTCAAACTGCGGGTGCTCAGACCGGCATTCAAGGAGAACGGGACCGTGACGGCTGGCAATGCTTCCACGATAAGCGACGGTGCGGCTGCGATGGTTCTTGTCAGCGGAGCGAAGGCAAGCACTTTGAAACTGGAGGTGCTTGCACGGATAAAGGGCTTTGCAGATGCTGCACAGGCACCCGAGTTGTTCACGACTACACCGTCTCTGGCAATCCCGAAGGCGATCCTGAATGCGGGAATCGGTAAGGAGGATGTCAACTACTATGAGATCAACGAAGCATTCTCGGTGGTGGCGCTTGCAAACCAGAAGCTCCTGGGACTTAGCCATGAGAATGTGAACGTTCACGGAGGTGCCGTGGCGCTCGGGCATCCATTAGGCTGCAGCGGCGCACGGGTTGCCGTCACACTCCTTGGAGTCTTGAAGAGGAAAGGGGGAAGGATTGGAGTGGCGGGKGKGKGKRATGGKGGRGGKGGRGSRKCAGSTATGGTGATTGAAGCCTTATGACAAAGCCAAGATGAAGCAGGAAGGAAGGTGGGAGGAAGGAAGGAAGCAAGCTATGTATCAGCCTTATGATGACATTCATTGCTCGCATACTAAGTTGTGCAACATGGTCCAAGTGCAGACAGAATATAGTGTGTGACTGTGACAGAGAAAGGGGGATGGATTGGAGTGGCGGGTGTGTGTAATGGTGGAGGTGGAGCATCAGCTATGGTGATTGAAGCCTTATGACAAAGCCAAGATGAAGCAGGAAGGAAGGTGGCAGGAAGGAAGGTGGCAGGAAGGAAGGAAGCAAGCTATGTATCAGCCTTATGATGACATTCATTGCTTGCATACAAAGTTGTGCAACATGGTCCAAGTGCAGACACAATATAGTGTGTGATTGTAACAGAGAGGTGGAATAGCATGTATCAATGATGGTGGAGATGAGTGTGGAATTTCGACTATGGTGGTTCTAGTCTTGCAGCAATGCCAAAGGATAAGGTGTGGATGGGTGAAGAGAGGAATGTAGGGAGGGAGGAGGGGAGGGAGGCAATGGATAAATTGTGTCTGGTTCTGCTCAGTTGTGCCGGAGGGAGGGTGGGGTGGAGATGAGTGTCGAGTTTCGACTATGGTGGTTCTAGTCTTGCAGCGATGCCAAAGGATGAGGGGTGGATGGGTGAAGAGAGGGATGGAGGGAGGGAGGAGGAGGGGGAGGCAATGGATAAATTGGTTCTGGTTCTCCTCAGTTGTGCCGGAGGGAGGGTGGGGATAAGGTGTGTCAGATTCTGCTGAGCTGTGCACACATGCCGCAGATGCTTGCAGTTGTTTGGGCTCACCTTCCCTTCCTCAAGTGTGTCATTGGACCTCGCTCCACAACAGAACACTCTTATGTATCTGCGGCAAATGATCGTCCTGCGGCAAATGATCGTCCCGATGCATGTAAAATGTTGCACTTGCGCGAATGCACCTGGTCCAGAACGCGTCCAAATGCATGTGGAATGTTGATTAGTGGAGCAAGGCCCATTCTCTTTCTGAAACTCTTGATTGTTTGCCTCGCTCGAGGGTGAGGCTGCAAATTTTTCTGGAGGTCGTGCCAATAAAGAAAAAGTGGATGGCTTATTCACTGTGCTAGGCGAGAAAACAGGCAGACAGCAGCAGTCGTCGTTTGAGGTTTCCGCCTCGTCTGAGGGTGAGGCCGCAGAATTCCAGAGGTTGTGCCAATAAACAAAAAGTGGATGGCTTATTCACTTTGCCAGGTGAGAAAGCAGCAGGCAGACAGCAGCAGTCGCCGTTTGCGGTTAAGGTCGTCGATGCCTTGTCCATGCTTGGCAAGTTGCCACTTGTGACAGACACAGGTTGCTCGTGCCGCTTGGCAGTCAGAAAAGTACGGAGTGACAGTGAGTGTACTTACGGAGAACGGTAAGTTGAACGGAACTTGTCAGGCTGAGATCTGATGCAGACAGGTTGCAAATGGTGTTTAAACTTTGAACTTTAAACTTTAAAAATGGTATAAAAACTTATTAAAAGTTAAAAACACAATTGAACTGGAAGCATGCTGTGTGTGTGTGGGATAAGTGGGTGTGTTGCGGACAACGCGGCTGCGGCTGATTTATTTACTCCATCACTGTTTTGAAAAATTCCGACTCTCTGTCTTGATTTATTTTTTTTTTTTCCACATCTGCAGCTTTCTTTCGAATCGCAGCTTTTTTGAAGGTTTGCCAAATTTGCCGCCTTGTCCTCGTCGTCGTCGTCCTCCTCTGCCGCCTCCTTCTTCTTCCTCCTCCTCCTTTTCCTCGACCTCTTTCTCTTCTTCTACTTCTTCTCGTTCCTTCTCCTTCTTATTATCATCTTCTCTATCTTAGTTAAGTTTATCAGCTGCGGGCATTGACACACCCCGTCCTGGCCAATGAGTGAGAATCGTCCGATTGTGGAAATGAGTGGTCGATATCTGTCCTTAAACGCTTTCTTTTGTCGACACTTTGGGCATAGCCACACCACTAAATGTGCAAAATGAAAATGAACTTCCTGCTAGAATATGGGCAGATGCACCCGCCGCATTTTTGTTTTTTTCACATTTCGAGAGTGGTGTGGCGAGGCCCTTTGTTGTGCCGCGGTTGTTGGACAAGTGGATGGTCTGGCTGGTCGAGAAATCTGTCAGTGAACGTAGAGGGCTGAGAATTTCACAAAGTTTCAGAGCTCGTGAGAGTGTCAGGCATTTTTGGGAAAATGGGCCTCGCAGCACTTCTCTCCACATGCACAAAAGACAAAAAAGATGGCAATGCATCTTTCCATGTTCTAGCGGTGGATTCAGTCTCATTTTGCACATTTGGAAAGTAGTGCAGTGAGGCCCAATGTCTGCAGGGTTCACACAAATTTAATATTTATTGTTCGGGGCTGAATACTGTCGCGTTCGGGGTTGAATGCAAAAGGAAAAAAGGAAAACAACCGGAAAGTGTTTGCGGGTCATGATGTGTCAGAGTGTCAGAGGTGCTCTGGGACTGGCGGGGATTCGTCAGGGCGTGTCAGGGACTTTCACCATCATGGAGGGTTTACACGATTGTAGTTATTTGGTTGTGAATGTGAATGCGGTCGAGTATGGGGTCTGCATGCGTAAGAAAAGGGAAAGGCAGTCCGAAAGCGTTTCTGCGGCGCGGTGTGTCAGAGGGTCGTGACGTGTCCAAAATATAATTTTTTTCCGTGACGTCGCAAGGTGTTGGTGTTAGAGCGCCCCGACACACCGCGGTGCTAGAGGGTTGTTGCTATGTGCGGAGATGTGTCAGAAAAAAGGAAAAAAAATCATTTTAATGTTGCAAGGTGTCAGTCAGAGTGCTCTGACACACTGTGGTATCAGAGGGTTAAAAGGCCAAAATGGGCCCAAAATGTTTTTGGGCCCCCTTGGGCCCTCCCACACATGTATGCATGCACCTGCCTTCCTTCCCACCCACCCACACATACTAATATTATTATTATTTTATTATTATTATTATTATTAAAATTTATTATGTTATTGTAGTTAGCTGCTTGGTGGTTGCAGCTGGGGTTTGAACCCAGGTGCAGATGTTGAGGTATCAACTATCCAATGCGATAACCGCTGAGGTAGACTGTACCCGGTTTCCAGCACTCTGGCGTCACTCTCATTATGGTACTGTGCCGCAAGATGTAATTATGGGAGGCTGGACCCGGTTTCCAGCAGGTGTCGCTCCCCACCAATAGATGGAGCGGCCCGCTAGGCAAAGCCTCAATCCCGGTGGTTCTCTTACCACCACCAGGATAGAGGTCTTGCACAAAGGGCCTTAAAAAAAAAAAAAAAAAAGACTGTGTCCATGTCTTATTTCAGGGACCATCCTTTTTTGAGTGATCGCGTCCGCTCCTTCGAGTGCGCTTCCCTTTGAACTGAAGTGTGCAACTGTGCCACTTTGAATGTTGCTTTTCTGTTCCCTTTTCCTTTTTCCGTGGGTCTGTGCACACGCACACCCGCCCACATGCAAACCGACCATGGGGCTCGCTCTACTAAGTAAATGAGGGAAATGAGAATGAATCTTGAGCTAGAGGATGGAAAGATACACGCCATATTCTTTGTCTTCTGCGTGCTCAGGGACTCGGTTGACTACCACTTACCAGATGAGGGAAATGAGAATGGATCGTCAGAAAAAAAAACAAAAAAAAGAGAATGGATCGTCAGCCAGAACAGGGAAAGATACACCGCCATATTCTTTTGTTGTCTCATTTTCTTTTTCTCTAGGCGTTACGAGTGTTTTTCGTTTTTTTTTCTTGTTTCTTTGTTTTCTCTCACCTCACATATCTTTTAAGTTTTAAGTTTTAACTGGCGTTCTGCCATGTCATGCATGGAACATATCTTTCTTTTCAGAACCTACCTACCACTACTCCTAAGGCTATACAGGAGACCCCTGCAAGCATAGCTTTCTGCCTCTCTTCGGTGAAGGGAGGTTACCTCTCTCCGTCATTGGAGAGGAGTGACGGCATGTTTGCCCCTTTGCCGCCCTCGCGTTTAGGGTGCAGGGTTGGAGCCGCCGGCCGCCTGTAGCACTCTTGGTGCCAACCAGCTGAGATAGTCGCATTTTCATGAATTTTCTGTTGAAGTTTTCTGAGCGTACTCGTTATGGGACGCTGGGCCCGGTTCCCAGTTTGTGCCAATTTTTTAGGATATGGTTGTATCTATGGGACGGTGGACCCGGCTTCCAGCAGGTGCTGCTCCCCACCAATAGATGGAGCTTTTTTTCATGGTAAAAAAAAAAAGAGATAGTCAGCTGGATCCTCGCAGTCGGTATTAGCAAGGTCTTCTTGGTGCCAACCAGCTGAGATAGTCAGCTGGATCCTCCCAGTCGGTATCAGTAAGGTCTTCAGCCAACACGGGTGTGAGTGCGTGTGTGAGTGGGTTGAGTGTGGGGTGTGGGAGAGTGTTGGCTTTACTAGACACTATACTGTTACTCGATGGGGGTGGGGGAAGATGAAAAGGGAGGCACAGTTACTGAGAGACGGTTAACGGAGGCCTCAATTTTCAGACCACTTGTCAGGCTATTTATAACAAAACCCAAAGGTCATTTTAACCAAACTTGCCACCAATTCATAGACTGGAGATCATACTAACTACTTACAAAAAAAAAATTGAAAAAAAAACTTTTAAAACCTATAAAACAGCTAGGCAAAAATGTGTTTTCATGCAAAATTCACGCATTTAGTTACTGGCAAATGCATTTCGGTCCTTGTGTTACAAATGTTTTTTTTTTTTTCTTTTTTTTTTTTTACAAATCAACTTTGCATTTCGGTCCTTGTGTTACAAATGTTTTTTTTCTTCCGGGCGTTACATTTTTTGTTTTTTTTTTTCCTGGTCGTAACCTAGGTAAACAGAGTCGCACTGCCCGGGCAAGCCGGGTGGACCTGCACGGGGGGCAACCCGCCGGGGGTACCCAGGCGACACCAAAAGGGGGGTATTTTTTTTCCCTTTTTTTTTTGGCGCAATGGGGCAAGTTTGCTACCACTGAGTTGTGCCCAAATCAGGCCTCATCTTTGAATTTGGTGACGGCTCACCAAAGGGTGTCTATGGGGTACAAGCGAGGTCCGAAAGAGCTCGAAGGAGCTTAGGGGCTTATAGGCATGGTAACGGACCGGACGTCCGAACCGGGTTCCAGACAGTCTGGAACAACATGTCCGGTGTTTGGTGTCTGGTCCTTGTGTCTGGATGGAGGCCCCCAGGGCAAAAACTGAAAAAAATAAAGGGGCGGCCCACGACATTTTTCGGGTCCTGGCCGCCCCTTGAAAAATAATGGGGTGATTTTTCAGTGTCGTTTCACCCCACCGGACAGGGCCTAGAGGTCTGGACACATGACACTGCAGGTTTTTGGGGTGGCGGGTTTCACACTGACCCGGGCAGTTTCAAAGATGCCGTTTCGACATGCAACCCGCCACTGCTGCCTGTTGCAGAGACAGAGAGACAGAGAGAGAGAGAGAGAGAGAGAGAGAGAGAGAGAGAGAGAGAGAGAGAGAGAGAGAGAGAGAGAGAGAGAGAGCAC